TCTGTGGAACCAGACTGGGTTTTTTTTCTCCAGCTCAGCCCAAAAGGGCCTCGCCTGTTTCATGTTGAAACGCGGTGAAATGTTTGCTTTTTAAGGCAGAGGAGCTGTTAGAAGTCTGGCACTTGGGCTGAGGCAAAGTTTCAGTTGACAAGAGCGCGTTAAAACGTTCTTGTGCCTCATTCACCCCGATGAACAACAGGATGTCGTCTGTAAGAAATACGTTAAGGGCAGGGCTACACGCTGAATGATAATGCTCACTGAGGTGTGAGAGATACACAGTGCTCTGCAGTGTTATATACAGCAGGACCCTTGAAATCATATAAAACAGTGGGACTGATGCTCTACTCTGTGGTTACCCATTATATGTGAACTATGATTTAATCAAAAATAATTTTATATTTATAAAGCACTGTATTATTTATAGTAAAACATATAATATCCTCAACCTCCTGAGAAAGACAATCCAGGACTTCTTTTCCTCAAAGATGTTTCAATGTTCTGAAACTCTGGCTAGGACCAGACTCTAGAATATCTACAGGGTTAGATTTGACAACACATGTTGTGTAAAATAACTGTCTATGATACTGTACAGGTTCAAGCCTTGAACTTCTTTGTGTTTATTTATAAATCTGTGATTTTACATATTGTTAGATGTGGGTGGAATGTTTTAAAGCAGTGATTCTCAAAGCAGTAGACACGGGTATACTCCAGAACCAGGATTTTTATCCCAGTTAAGCCTTTAACTTTAACTGATCTGCTTGCTTGTTTAAGCATTATTTCTGCACTCAGGGCTTGCTGAGTAACTGCTGTCTTTTCTGATTTTATGCTGCAGCCCAATTCTAAATCACAAGCTAAATGGTTTTAATTTTTCTATCAGAGAGTTTTTTTTTAATTTGCTTTAAGCTCCTATAAAAACATAAACATATTACCTCCCTACTAGTGAGCGGGTTTGAGGACTGCCCTCACAGCACAGTGGCACATGGTTAGCACTGTTTTCAAATCCAGACTTGGGGTGCTGTCTGTGTGGAGCTTGCATGTTCCCTCATGTGTGTGCATGGATTTCGAGGTGCTCTGGTCTCCTCCCTCAATCCAGAGACATACTGCAATATTAATCGGATTCTGGGAAAATTGGCCCTGGTGTGACAGTCCCTGTTTCCTGTCCGGGGTGTAACCCCGGGTTGTACCCCACCAGCAGCCATATCACCCTGCAACTCACAACTGGCAGCCCACTGAAGCTCAGCAGGTGTGAGCCTGGTCAGTACCTGGATGGGAGACCTCCTGGGAAAAACTACGGTTGCTGCTGGAAGAGGTGTTAGTGGGGCCAGCAGGGGGCGCTCACCCTGCGGTCTATGTGGGTCCTAATGCCCCAGTATAGTGACGGGGACACTATACTGAAAACAGTGCCGTCCTTTGGATGAGACGTAAAACCGAGCTCCTGACTCTCTGTGTTCATTAAAAATCCCAGGGCATTTCTTGAAAAGAGTAGGGGTGTAACCCCGGCGTCCTGGCCAAATTTCCCATCGGCCTTTATCAATCATGGCCTCCTAATAATCCCCATCTATGATTTGGCTACATTACTCTCTGCTCTCCTCCCCACTGAGAGCTGATGTGTGATGAGTGTTCTGGTGCACTATGGCTGCTGTCGCATCATCCAGGTGGGGCTGCACACTGGTGGTGGTGGAGGGGAGTCCCCATTACCTGTAAAGTGCTTTGAGTGGAGTGTCCAGAAAAGCGCTATATAAGTGTAAGCAATTATTATAATTATTATTAATTGTCAGGATAGAATTGATGAAACAGTTAGAAAATGGCTGGACCGACATAAGAAAGGTTATAAATGAGTGGAATGTAATTTGTCTGGTTGTAAGAAGCTCAGTGCTCTGGGGTTCTAATCCAAATGCTGCTTGAAAAAAGTCAGGATATCATCTTCCACAACATGACTGGATAGCTTGTTCACTCACAGGCCTGTGTTTGAAAAATGATTGTTTTAAATACTCTTCCAAATACTTTCCACTTCTGGACTGTTACATTGTTGGTTCTGAAATTCAGTAGTGTGACCTTCATTGCTTTTTAATTGAGTTGAATAAACCTTTATTGCCCCAAAGGGAATTTGTCTTACACATCAAGAGCTCGTAACATATATGACAATAATACAATACACACTCAATGTAACAACATTGCTCAGTCTGAACTCAATCCAGCACCATAAGATTCAGAACAGACAATTAGCTGATAAAGTGCCTAAAACAATATTATTTTGATAATGTGAATGAGGTCTCCTCATCGTCTTCTCAATTCAACCCCCAAAACATTTCGTTCTTTTATCCTGTCAATGTATCCTGTAGAACAGTAGTCTTGCCTGAGCAGATTCCAGAACAGCAATCTGTTTTTTAAAAAGTTGACCACAATTGTACACAGATACTAAATCAAGTTGAACTAGTGTTTTTTTTTGTTTTACACATCATACCTTGATTTCAAGTCTGCATTTTAACTATATATCCTAACATCTCCACTACTACTGTAACAAGCTTGTTCAATAAAGCCTCCCATCTCTGGCCAACCTGGCTGTCCCCTTGAAACTCACTGCCCTTTGATACTCCTAGTTAAGTTGTAATTACAGTTTCCACCTTTCTATATAGAATAGGAGTCTGACTTATTTGGCTGTAATTTCAGTTTTCTCACTTTTTTTAGAGATGGGAGTTACATTATCATAATTAGCCTAGAGTGACTGTTGGAAGAATTTAGATGAACTATGGACATTTCTTTTTTCTTTAAGCTCGAATAATAGAGAACACCAGCAAGCCTTGAAGATTTAAGTGTTTTCTTTTATCGGTAACATTTCTACCTAGACTATGCTAATACTCTAATCGTGAACATTGTCCTTGTCCATCTCGACACAAGTTGTCAGGTTTCCCGAGCCGAACAAAACTTGTATCTTTCTCTTCATCTTCTCCTTTAACTGTGCTCAAGCCGTTTTGTACTTTGAGTAGATCCTGTTTGTTTCAAATCTTTACATTTTCTAAAGCGTCTCCTCCTATATCTTTAATTGGTTTATTGAAAACCTTTTCGGCCACTATTCTCTATCCTTAACGTAGCTTCAAGCGGAATATCTTGACTCAGTCTTTATTGCTTCCAAATCTCTCCCATATCCATTGACCTCTTTTCGAACATCTTATTCCTTTCGAACCTGTGTCCCTAAAAGCGTAGACCATTATTTTGAACGTTGTAGATGTTAAAAAACTTGAGGAATAACAGCACACTAGGATTAGAAGTGTATGATGTTTGATTATTTCGCTATAGTGAGATTTGTCTTAACCCTCCGAGCCGGGGGACGTATTAGACCCCAATACAGACTGAGGAGTGGCCGAGGCGTATTTGCAAAGGTATGGGGTGGGTGAGGGATGTGAGAGACGAAATGCAAAGAGAACGCGATTTATCCAGCTTTGAGAAGAGACGGCAGGAATGATTCTGATTAGGAACAGCAGCGACACAAGTGACTTGGTTGTCATTCCTTAATAACTTCACTTCTATATTACGGTCTTTGACTTCTAGTGTTTCATGACCATCCCCCTATGTTTGCGCTCAATACTTTCCCTTTCTGTTGCAGTGTGTTGAAAACGTTCTAATTATGCAATTGCTCTGAGGGTGTAAAGGACATAGGAAGCGAGAGGCGCTGTAAACGCAACCGTTTCTGTTGGTTCATTTACTCACTTGCTTTTTCAACGTCTCATTATAAGTTGTCGTTGCTGCCGAACTCCGTAAATGTTCCGAAGAGCTGTTTTAATCACTAATGCTGCGGGGCCATTTCCGTTTGTTTCCGCGTTTAGCCAGCAGGGGTCAGTGAATCTCTGTTATGCGCGTCAGGATGTTTCTGCCGGCGAGGAATGTGAGCTCACGTTTGTAAATACTCGGATGCCTGAGACACGGTAAAGCGTACAAGTTTAGTCATCCGAGTTTCTGTACAGTTGTGTACCACTACAATGAAAAAACATGAGCTATTAATGATTTATTTTTCATTCTGAAGGATAATTAGTTTAATCTAAACAGGTTTCTAGTTTATTAATTCATAACACAAACCCAGGCATCAGTGAAGTCCGGTTTTACGGAAATCCAGTTGGGAATTATCCTCAAAAGGTACCATTTGCAATACGAGAAGTCAGGAATACTGCTTTATTAAACGAAAAACAAAATTATATATAAACGGAAGCGTTTAAAATATTAGAATCGGGGGTATAGTTAAGAAAATACAATAATACGATTCCAAATTTTCAACACTAATTGTAATTAACATAGGGAAGGGCTAAGTGTGTATGCTCGACCATTTTCGGCACTGCTTTGTGTACGGAGGTAGAAGACACCAGAGGCATGTAGTTTTCCGTCTCTCTTGTCTTTCCTTACAACAGGGTAACCTGAGAGCAACATGTTTGTTGTGCTTTGCAGGCAATAATAGCTGTCCCGTGTTCTGCCACAAACTTGTTACTGCGGCTGCTGGACAGAAAGAAAAATGAGTAAACGTATTTCTTCATCAGTTCGGAGAAACAGCCGTCCTGTAAACAAAATGCATGTACGTGAATTACCCTGAATAACACCGCCGTTCATGGTACTTGAATATTGTGAATCTTGAGCTGGCGGGTGCAATTTATGTGTATATTCAAGGGACGATCAATAAATATGAAAGTAACTAAATGTGCGTATATTTAATATTATTAATATGTTCTGCTCAATAATTGACCAGTCGTCGTTCCTCTGTTAAAATCTGTCATATTTAGTTTTTTTAGACTCGATATTGATGTATCGTTTTGGCTAATTAAATTTCCAAAGAATGTTTTTTGCCCATGCGGTTTCACTATATGACAAGTCCTGTAAAAGGAAAAATCATCGCAAAACAGCGCAATCAACATATGAATAACGCTTACTGGAAGGAGGGGGAGTTTTGAGATGATGCCTTGCGCACTTAGTTACGGTCGGAGTGTTGTATGGGTGCATTTCGAGATTGCTGCTGACTGCGAGAGGAGCTCTGAGCATCCAGCACTGAGCTGACTCTACTGACTGAACACTTTTTTCAAGTTAAAGCTACAAGCTGCAACCTTGGTCCTCCAATTCTCGGACCTCCCATGTGTCTACCTGCCATTCTGGAATGAAACACAAGTCCTGTCCATTTAAAAGGGGCTCCTTTTCTACCGCAGAACAACTTTTTGAGCTGGGAACTTTAGGGTACCTCAGTGTGGTCTGGGGGCATCAAACAGCGCACGCCGCTGGCACTTGCTGTTAATGGAAAATGGTTCCTGCGATGGTATAACCGCGCAGGTTGCCAAGTGGTGGCTTGTCTTGCTGTTTTATTTAGTAGACAAGAAGTTTATGAGCCATTCCCTCAGTAAACCAATACCGCTGCCTACAGAAAGGACCACACGGCAAAGCTGTGATGCTTTAGCGGAACACGCTGGTGAAATACCGTCTATATGCGGATTTTTGTGGAGTGAACCTCACATTTTAAAGGCTTGAATCTATATCCGACATTACAGGAATTAAAAGAAAATGGATGCGGAGGGGCATTCGGAGAACAATTTACCGACCAACAAGGATTCGGACCGTCAGCTCCGATTAAGACTGTGCGTTTTAAATGAGATTTTGAACACCGAGAGGGACTACGTCAGGACATTGCTTTTTCTGCAATCTGTAAGTTTTTGTTGTTGTTGTTTATTTCTTTCCGTATGTGGTTGTGAAATTCACTCGCAGCTTAAGACCAGAAGGATGCCAACTTTGTTACACAGTAGAATTTGCACATTGTATCAATGACGTATTTTTCCAATAGTTTACATTACCAGCCCCACTAGTCTGTGTTTGAATTTGGTTACATCGTTGCATTGCAAAGGCATAAAACAATTGTTGTCGACACTATCAAAGAATTTAGGATTTTCTGAAATCGAGACAAGCCATTAAAATGACAAGTCTCTGTGCATTGCATGCTTGGTATAAAGTAGTCCGGGAAAAAAAAAAAAACTTGTTTCCTCGTTTTAAATTCATGCTCTCTCAAATGAGGTTTGCAGTGGAAATAGTGGGGGAAAATACGGTAAAGTGGTGTGAATACAACCGTTTGTGCCTTCTGTAAAGGTGTCAGGCTGCTGGGAGCTGTCCCCCACTCTCCTCACACTGTCTAGTGAAAATGATCGGTATCTCCTTGTTTCTGAATCTGAAATCTGTGCTCTTCAATTGACATCAAGTGGCTCTTCCTACCCATTGCAACTGAAAAATTGTAGAAATGTATATAATAGTATAGAATAACTTGCAACTTGTTAAAGTAAGCAGGAGGTATCGGCTTTGCCAAAACAAACTGATTTTTGTATTTTTGGGTATTACTCAGGTATGTCTCATAAGGGACCTTATGAATACCTTTTTAATAAGCATCTCCCCGTTTATTTGAATCCAAATACAACTCCTCTTAAGAAGGACTCCTCAGACATCGGTTGATGTGCGCATGAAGTGCGTTGAGACTTTTGTACTTGGGTACATTGTTACTGCCTCTGCAGGCGGTCCGCATCTCAGGGCTAGCGGTGATACACCGCTTTTGTGTGCAGAAGACCACTTCTATGCTAATTACTTGTCCTCGTGCTCCTATGATGAATGTGCGATTGTGTTTTATTGCCCATGGGGGTAAATCATGGGCAGGAAGGGGGTTGATAAAGATTGTTCATTCCTTTCCAACGGCGGGCACGGTGACGACAAGAATCCCGTCTGTTCTTTTATCTGTTAGCCAAGCCATAGGTGGCCGAACCACTCATTCTTTGACGAAGATACCGTTCTAAGTAGCTGATTACATTTAAGCCCCTAAAAAGTGGGAGAGTCGTTTATTTTCACACGTGTGTGTGCAGACGGACAATCGGGAGAGAAAGTGAAGGTTGTACTGTCTTTCCAACATTGCTAAGCACGGACACGGTGTTAAAGAACGGTATTTATATAGAGAATTCTGTTTGCTAGTATATGCACGCTCTTTTTTTCTTAAGAGAGTAGAAGAAATGTTAAAACACGTGGTCTATATCTCACTCATCGATATCCATGCTGCATTTGTCCAAAGATTTGAAAGCGTATAAAAAACAGGACCTGGATGACATTAATGACTTGGGTAGTGATTTAAGAACAGTGTAGAACTATAGCTACAGCAAAAAACAACAACTTCATATTGAAAACGTATAGAAAACAGTCCTTGTCATTCTTACTTTAAAGCAGCGTTTAAAGAGAGGAAGTGCACGATCAGACGGTAGCTGTATAAACAGAGCCTAGGCTGTACTGTCATTTACAGAAAGCGATGAAAGGAAGTTGGAAAATCAATCTAATTTTCCTGCGAGAGACAGGGTATTAAATCCCGTGGACTCCTCCAGTCGCTCACGTTCCTCATCTTCAGCTGCATCAATAAAATTCATTTTTTGTTACCCAATAAATATCATAGTCAGTCAGAGGGGCTTTCTTTAGCAGAAAAAAAGAACTGACAAGCTAATACAGAACGAGAGAGTTGATTAGAGACTGAAAGTGGTAAACGGGGAGTTCAATGTGTTGCAGAATGACTCTGATTGACTGAAATGCAGAGCACATCAGAAGGTGGGTAATATGCATGCCGTAGTAATTGTCAGATTTTGAGGTCTGCTCCCTGCATAACAGTTAACTGAAAACGATCCGTCTGTGCCTCTGCAGACAAACAATAGCCAGGGGGTATTGATAACGAGGTGTCTACAGTCTCCTATTGTGTCTCCCGGCCAAGGAGAGCTGTGCAAAAACTGCTCAATCTCAGTGTTTCCAGGGAGGTGCTGTTCCTCTCTTAATAATCCCCTCCCCCATGACATCACAAGGAATCCCTTAATTCAATCCACATTCCCCGAGGAGCCAGCCAGCCAGCGAGGAGAGAAGCAGCAGGACACAGCTGCCCTGGTCCATCATTAACCCCTTCACTGCTGGGCGGTTTTTCTAGCTGTCTTTCTTTTGCCCCTGTTTTTGAGAGCCGCGAGTGTCTGTCAGCTTTGTACAAGTTTGAAGAAAGCAGTTGTCCCTTTTTGAAGTGGTGTCTTCCGGGGCACCACGAAAAATGTCCCGTTATTAGCGATTTTCTTTTTCCCCTTTCGTATTTTTTCGTAAGATTTAAAAGCAAAAGGGAATGTCTTATCGATTAACAGTGATGCCAACACACGTCATAATTTTATACAGTGACATTTAGTGAGGAAGACGAGACACCTTTTTACACATACAGTAAGAACTGGGAGGGAAAGTTTTCTTTCTGCTCTGTTGAATCTGTTGGATTCTGTGATTTTGATGTAGATTAATTTAGAGTACAGGCTACCGGTACCAGTCATGCCCTGAAATCTGCAGCTGGTCTTGTTCAGGACATAATGTATACATCTTAAATAGCTAACTGCGGAAGTGCGTTTATTACCGAGAAGAGGAGGCATGCCTTTACCCGAAGAGTTGTAGGAGAATGGAACAAGCTTCCAAACCATGTTGTATCAGATACCCTGGCTTCTTTCAAGAAATAGTTGGATCAGATCCTTGGGTCAATGTTAGTGCTTTGAGAAGCCACCTTTAAAGGTGCTTTATAAAATAAAGCTTTATTATTAACTGCCAAATGGGGTTTAATGGCCTCTTTCAGGTTTGTAACCTTTCTTATGCTCCAACTGACGCAAATTATTTCAGCGCCAGGTGTCACTGACTTGTATCATTTTTCAGATTGCACTTTCTTTTTCTTTCACGTTCTTAATACGAACAATCTTTCCTGCCGCAATCCAGTTGCTGAGGGTGTGGTCTCAGTGAAAGCTTTGTCATTAAAGGGCTCATTTGGTTTAGATAAGGCATCTGGCTGGAGGCTAGAAAGTAAGCCATATGGTTTGGGTAAAGATAGCCCTGTGTATCCACACATCACAGAAGGAGAGGTAGTGGGGAGGAGGGAGGCAGGGGCCAGGTTGCTGGGGGAATTGAATCAGTCCTTGTAAAGTGTGACATCTTTTCCTCATCAACAGCTCCTTTTGTTTGTCCTGCTGCTGCTCCGGGGTGTAGAAACATGCTCCCATGCAGAGCAGGTAAACAGGCCAGAGATCACCGCAATGTCCTCCTTGACTTCTATTGATTGTTCTGGAGAGAGATGGCCCATTCACCCAGCTGGGAGCTCTAAACACACTCCCAGGTACACAAAGGCTCCCCATACATATTTGAAAAAGCCTATACAGTTGTTCAGACGTTTGTGGAGGTGAAGGCAATGGAATTGCGAAGTGCTAAAATGGTTTAGATGTGTCGATGGAATTTCTTCTACAGTCTCTTTTGAGCCCCATGCTTTGTTTCTCAGAAGCTGGGCTCCCTGTTTTGATTTTGAAGACTGGACATCATTGATGGCCAAAGAGCCCCACTATTGTACTCATGATGAAGTGCAGATTGCCGAGTGTGAGGGGGAGGGACGGGGGACTCTTGAATCCTGAAAGGAATTTCTTTTTTTTAAAACCAAAAACACTGACTTTAAAGTACGGAAGATGACACCTAATATCGGTGTCTTTGTGCAGGAAAAAAAAAATATGAGGCTTTGAAATAGGGGAAAATCGTTGCTATTTTACACTAGGCTGGCATACGGGTGCGAATAAGACATTAAAACTGTCCCAAAAAATGTGGGCTCCTGTAGCAGCCAAGATTGTGGTCTGACCCGTGTATTCCAAAAACATTTCAAAATCTTATAACCCGCTGCACTGATTGAATTGAAGATGAGAAGATTTAATTGACAACCACAGCTTTCTAAAATTGTCACATAAAAAAAGCTACAACAGTAGAATTTACTCCTGCAACAGCTCATAAACCATTTTGAGAAACGCAGCCCTTCACATACCAATTGACTTCTCTATAACTTTTTGGTAAATTCCAGACTTTACGGCCACGATTTGTCTCAGGACGAATGTACAAGAAAGGGGTTCCCGCACAACTTTATTTCTGCTTTGGCAAGTATCCTATCTAGTGAGCATATTGCTAATACCTGACGCATTGCCGTGCCAACTAGCTGCATGATCGCCGTTTCGTTTTCACAATTCACTTTGTCTGTATTGGGCTCTGCTACACTGAGCTGCGAGAATGGAGCTGTAATTCTTATGTGCACCTTAAAAGGTGCTTTGATAATATTCTCACCCACAGCAGGTCTACAGCAGTCTGTGGCCTCTTAAACTCTTGCTTAAGTACTGATTGGGCAGTTAATTCCAAACCTGGTAGGTCTCCTTCTCATTTTGTCTGGTTTAGTTACAGCTCACCCACTGCTAAAGTAGGCGGATAAGGACTTGGTTTCCTTATTGATTGCAGTTTTATAGTTGATCTTTTTAGCATGGGTGGTCCATATATTGTGCAGCAGTTTGTAAGGTGAATACCAGCTGACTGGAAGTGTTAATTAAATTACTCGCTGGGGTGAATTGCACTAACATCGCGGAGTGATTTAAAAGCTGAACCCCACAGTGTGCTCCAAACCTCATGAACTGGTTCGTCTGTCCTTGCCCTTGAAAATGTATTGCTTCTGTCATCAGAGTGTATTTGGAATAAGAGGTGGGTGACCTTGTGTGTGTAAATCTGTTTCCATGTCAAGAGATACAGCTGACTATCCACGTGTGCCCCTGTTTGGTGTGACATAGCAGATTGTCCCATCGCCACGTAAACCGTGAAGATTGTGAGAG